GGTCTTTTCTTCTAAATTAAAATGAGATTCAATCCCTTTGCTCTTCAAGATTACGATATATCATTTGAGTTCTATAAATTTGCCCCCATTCTGAGATGAATATGAACTGCAACAACTCCAAAACAAACTTTACCTCTTTCCCTTTTGGAGTTTGAGAATTCGCCTACCAAGGAAAATACACCTACCAAGGACGTCGCAAATGCGCAAAAAGAAGAGGCGGCGCCCAAAATCACGCATATCACATCTACACGCTGCAACAAAAAAAGAAGATGCAAAACCTCAGAAACACGGCAAACAATATGCGCAGATAAAACGCACAGCACCAAAAATCGCACTAATTAGTAATAATAATATAAACATGTCGATGAGGCCACATGAAATTCACATAAATAGAAACAAGATTCTTGAAGATTCAGTAATTTAATTTCAACATATTCAGTCGCAACACATAACGAACTCAATGAGAAAAAAATACCAATAGTTTTACGTGCATACCGCCTCTTTGGATATGATAGCCAGTTCAGCATGTTTGTCGGCAAACTCCCTAGCAGCATAGCCCTGCAACGATGAACAAACTCAAGTTACATATTGCTAGCTTCATAGGGTTTCATAGTAGAGTATGAAATAGCCCGCCTGCGATCCTCATAAAACCTCACCTAGTCATCGCAAACAGATGCACATCGCCAGGACTCGGGAACAAATGAATTCCAAAGTCGAAAACGCCGTCGTTGAATTGAGACCCATGGTAGTGTCGGTCGGATTGGGGTCGATATGGAGAAGAAATTTCTAATTGGGTGAGGGTTTCTTAAACAGTACCTGAAGACGTGTTCAAAATTATTCACCAGCACCGCTCAGTGGTCGGGCCATCACAGAACTGAGATGCCACCTCCGTCGGTCCTATCCACCGGTCGTCGCTTCGTGCAGTAGCTCCGCCGCCAACCGTCGCTTCGTGTAGTAGCTGCGCTGCCGACCGTCGCTTCGTGTAGTACCTTCAATTGTCTCTGCTCGCGATCGCGGTCCGCAATCTCTGCCGCCATTATCGACTTTTGATTCTGTGAATGAAGGAGAAATCAAAGAATAAATTGAATCCATCATCTTTGTTCTGTAAAGTTCTGTAAATTTTGTTGGGGGTAGATTTTAGGGGAAAGGTTGAGGGAGAAATGACATGGGAGCTGTGCAGTGGCGTGCTGAAGGGCTATATTGTTGAAAAAAGCAAAAACTTGAATGAGTTGGTGAGTGTCTTTGACGTGATGGGAAGACTTTGAAGACTTGTGGACTAAGGAAGAAAATGTTAAATGACCATACTATCCTTAAAGCTAGATTATAGTATAGATATTTAGGTAATACTATTTAGGTTATTTTTAGTAATTGACTAAACCTGCCATGAATAAAATGTAATGTCGAAAAGAAAAATGCAATGTAATAAAATCCAAGACACGTGTCACGCTAAGAATGACATGTAATGGGACACTTGTCACCATTAAAAGCATTCAAAATGGGACACGTGTCAGCCATAGAAGTGGACTAACTTGTTTGTATAAGATATAAGAGAGATATGTTCAGTATATTAGAAGATTTTTTTATATAGGTAATATAAGTAAATGTTATAATATGTTTATTAACTATATAAATACTTTTATGTATAAAAGTAAGAAAAAAAAGAAGACATAAGTTTTTGTGGAAAACATATTTTTCATTGCAAGATATACTGAATATATTCTAACATAAACGCAACATATAACCAATTGGACAACTGCGTGAATTACAATATATGTTTTTATCTCTCTATTAAAAATGTACAAGCTGCGCGAATTAAGGAATTAAAGAAATTAGTTATTTATTATATGCATGTTTTGCATTTTTCTCTTTCTTAATCAAACCCATAAAAACCGGGGATAGAGGTTGAATGGATATGATAACTGATTTTAGTTATTACTGTAGTTATATATTATCTAATAGGCAGAGATATAATTATTTGTTTATAGATTGTATTTTTGCAATATTTTCAGAATCTTATAGGATGGATGAAAATTTCCGTAAATTTGGTTGATCTACAAACAGACGCGGGATGGACCAAGGCAAGACGAATCGGGTTGAAGACATAATTGATACCTAGACTTAGCATGTTCACTTTCGAGTCTTACCCGGCCCAACCCGTTTTGAAAACAGGTCAAGTCCACCCTGCCCCGAAGTCCTTGTTGGGGTGAACCGGGCACGGGTCATATTGCCATCACTACCCAGAGGGCAGTCGGGTCATTGACGGGTTGTTTGAATCAAGGTCGGTCACAGTTTCAGTCCAAAGCAAACAATCCCTAGAAACTCTCCTCGCACAATTTCTCACACTCACCCGTTGGCTGTCACCAACCATCAGCCACCGGCCCCTCCCCGCTCTCAGCGCTAGTCCATCAGCGGTCAACCACCAGTCTAGCGGCCAATCTGTTATCGCCCGCGCGCAGCGGCCGCCGCCTGGCGCTCAGCAAGTTGACAGTCCCTTGCCCTCCCATTCCGGCCGACACTATACCAGGCATTGTCTAGAACTAAATTTTTTTCTTTTTTTTTGGTTAATATAGTTGGCTGACTGTGGCTGTGACCACTGACCTGTGAATGTGAATTGGGGATAATCTTTAATTGCTTTAATTGGTGATTGTAAAGTTCATGAAATGTTGTAGCCTGTGTCTTTGCGGATTTTGTGAAATGTTGAGTGTGAGTCTGAGACTCAATGAATTTTTGTTAGCTTTATGATTTGTTTGTTTTTTCCAATACCTAGTACGCTCCCATAATTAGACATTGTGGGATTGTTTGTGTTGGGTGGGCTCTTTTTCTTGTTTGTGTCGGGTTAGTTACAATCGAAAAGTAATATGCAAAAGAAAAACTGACAAGGGCAATTCTTCCGCAGCTAAAAATGGACGGCGATGAGGTTGAAAGAGTACGCGGGAGTATAAATGAGTTGAGCATCAAAGAACAGGCTGATCAAGCTGAAGCTAGCCCACAAATCACCTGTTTTTCTCAAGCTTCTGGTGAAGATACCTTCCACTTTCAGATTATTCGTCTTCACAATCAGGTGCTCGTATATTTCGATTCTTCCCTTTGATCTGCTTTTCTTAGATAATTGTTATGGCTCACTTTTTTCCGGTTTGGTTTGTTTATGAAAATCTTACAGGATTTTTTTGGGCTGATCAACAAAGGAAACACCTCTAGTTTTTTGTTATGCTTGTTTAAATTTCGATCTTAATATAGTTCTTTTTAATGATTTTATATGCTCGTGTATGTGGCTGTGTGCCTTGATCGCATGTCTTCACATTTCGAGGTAAAATAAGTTATTGTTACGTATAATGTGTATAGTTGGTATTGTTTTCTGAAGTTGGAAGCTTATAAATAAGTTGGGAACTTTTTTACATTCCTTTATGTCTGTGTATCTGGTCCAAACAACATCATCCGGAACTTGAGCATGCAGATTTTTTTTAGCTCAATTGTTGGGCAGGGAATCTAATCAGAACATTGTATAGGTTCTTTTGGAGACAACTATGTTCAAGCTTTTATCAATTGTATTTTCCATGTCTTGAGTCAAATTGTAACTTCAAAAACTGTATCTGCATTTTCCCTTTTTGGAACCAATTCTCATTCATTCACCTATTGTATAGATTTATGCCTGGGTTGGTTGCAACTCAGCCAAGTTTGGACATTTGTATGCGGCTGTACCCACACGGCCTGTAAGTTTAAAAATTATTACATTTGCGCATTTTCTATCGTTTTGTTTGGTTTGATCATTCCCCCTATTTCTTAGTATTTGTGTCATATTCATCAAGCTAGAGATGAGTGATTAACATGGGCTCTGTTCTGACTATTTGACTATGAGCAGAGCCATACAGTTGGTGTGACTTCTCTCATAGGAGGAGCTTCTGATAACACGGGATCTGGTATTGCTCGCCGATTAGGTAAAATTGCTATCAACATAATACTTATGCACTTCAATAATTCCGTTATTGGTCTGATTCATGACTTGAATTTCAGTTCTAAAGACTGGTCTTAACATCGTACTTGCTTGTAACATACCAAAGAATAACCCCATGCTTGAGGTTAGATCAATCTGTCACACTCTTGCATTTGCTTCATGAAACACGGCTGCAAAAAAATTTATGACCTATTTGTTCATATAATTATTTGCTATGTCATGCGTGTCTATTAACGGGTTTCAGGCAAACGCTGAGAAAATGCTGATGCAGAAGCTAATTAGTCTGGGGTACACCAAGTCGAGAAGCTGAAGAAAATGTTGAGTGCATTATCCATGACGGTTTTTTGCTCGGTACTCGTTCCACACTTGGATTTGTTCTTCAGTTCTTTAGTTTTACTGTCATGAATGGTTTGTATTGGCTCTATTATTTCTTTATTTTGGTGTTGAGTTACTTCATCAGCATATATCGTTGCTAGTTTCATTTGCTCAATTGATGAAATCTTCGAAACTTGGAAGCCATGGAGTATGGACCGAGCGTAGGAAATTATAAGAATCTCGATGATATGTTTAGTTTAAACCATACTTTTGAGTGTTATATCGACCAAGACACAGATTTATTATACATTTTTATCTTTCTTTTTTTTTTATCTTTTTTTATTTTTATTTTTAATTTCTATTGGAGGTAGCTGGTGCATGTGTTTTTTTGATGGATTTGGCACACAACGTGACAGGCACTAAATTGTCTCACCAGTTACTGCGCACATATCTAATTGGCCATTTTATATTATGCAAACTTGTGTGCATCTTCGTGCGATGTATTGTTCACAAATTTTAATGTCAAGTGGAGTAAAGTTAGGCGGCTCGATCAGTACTACATATTAAGTAGAAATGTTTTGATGTGTCCTTGTGTTTGTTTTATCTTTAAGCGTATGTTATTTGAGTATGAAAATATGCATATTAGTTGAGAAATATATCTGTTGAATGGGTAGTTCCGTTTAACAACACTATCATTTAATATTAGGCTCTTTGCATATATATATTAGTGATATAAAGAGTAAATAATTATGGATATACTAAATAAAAGAAGCGCAGCCAAAAATATAATATTCCTTATAATAACATCCGTAACTGACGGGATATAAGGTTATCTTAATAATAATAATAATAATAATAATAATAATAAAAAAAACATACATGACGAGATCTAATCATATTTAGGCAATTCAAACTGGGATGAAAATAAATCCACTCATGGGTTTGTGTTTACTTTAGGAGAAGGAGTCATAGTTTGAAAGAGTGTCAAGTAGAAATGCGTGGCTGACTCTACCATAGAAGCCGAATATGTAGTAGCCTTAGAGGCAGCAAAGGAAGCGTTGTGGCTCTGAAATCTCTTTCTGGACCATAACGTGGTACCGAGTTTGCCCGCTACAATTACAATTTTTTGTGATAACAGCTGAGCAGTAGCGAACTCGAAGGAACCACGAACTCATAAAGCGAGTAAACACATAGAGTGCAAGTACCACTTGATACGAGAAATTGTTGGACGAGAGGAAGTCGTTGTTGCCAAGATACAATCATAGGACAACCTAGTAGATCCTTTTACGAAAGGCCTACCAGTGAAGGTCTTGACCGATATGTAGAAGGAATGAGAGTTAGACGTTAGGGCGACATGTTAGACTAGACTTTGAGAATTAGATTGAAAGATGAATTTTGGTTAGTGATAGTCGTAACCTTATAAAGTATAAGTGAGAGATTGTTATGTTATACTGTAAAAGTTTGGCTTTCAGGTTCTAGTACTTATGTTAACTATTGAACGAACTGCGGATAATGTTGGTGAAATAGTTTTCACCCGGGCTTCTTGTGAAGAGCATAATTATGAATGTAGAGAGAATGAGGGTTTGAGATACCTTAGCCCCCTTTTATAGGAGGGTGTACCTTAGTGCCCAAGTTGAGCGTGGCCGATATCATTATGTCATGTGTCCTAGCTCATATGGACATGTTCTCCAATATATTCCTTCTTCCATTAAAGTCGGTCTAGTATAGTATCCCATATCATCTAGTAACCTCAATCTGATCGAGTAAGCATGACTCGATCCAAGAGTGAAATGCCTCTTCGTACTGTTTCCGTCAACCTACCATTGATGTTATAATTTGAATAAATCCTCGATCACCAAATAGTCATCAAACCTCCAAATGAGCACCAGGTCCCAAATAAACACTGAATGACCACTGAGGTCGAAAATCGAAAGACATGCCTCTGAGGTCGAACACCGAAGACCTACTACTGAGGTCTAAAACTGAATGACATGTCAATAAGGTCGAGAAGCGAATGGCATTCCACTGAGATCGAACATCGAGTGAACCGCTACTGGGGTTGAACACCAAAAGCCAAATGACCAATGAGGTTGAATCGAGTGATCCACCACTGAGGTCGAAAACCGAGTGACCGGCCACTGGGTTCATTGGCTGTTTTCGAACTCATTGGTCATTCAGCTTTTGGTATTCGACCCCAGTTGCGGGTCGCTCGGTTTTCGACCTCATTGGTCATTTGACTTTTGATGTTCGACCCTAGTGGTGGGTCACTCGATTTTTGATCTCAGAGGCATGTCATCCGATTTTCGATCTTAGTGGCAGGTCATTCAGTTTTAGAGCTTAGTGGTAGGTCTTTCGGTGTTTAACCTCAGATTCAAGTCTTTCAGTTTTCGACCTCAGTGGTCATTCGGTGTTCATTTGGGTTCCGATGCTCAATTGGATGGTTGGTGACTATTTGGTGATCGATGATTTATTCAATTTATAACCTCAATCGTAGGTTGACGGAAATAGTATGAATATGCATTTCACTCTTGGATCGAGTCATGCTTACTCGACCATAGTGGGTGGCACTAGATGATATGAGATATTATATTAAACTGGATTTAATGGATATGAAGAAATATATTGGCCAATAAGTCCACATATGGGCTAGGACACACGACATAATGGTATAGGCCAAGCCCAACTTGAGTACTAAGCTACACCCACTATAAAAGAGGGCTAAGGTAACTCAAACCATCATTCTCTTTACATTCATAATTATGCTTGAAAGAAGTTGACGAATAATTCAAAAGTAGGAAGTTGACTTGTTGTTTAAACAGTTTGACTTACTTATAAAGGAAATTTTGTTGAATAAAATTTAAAATTAACTTTTTATCTTATTGCATGAATTTAGTTTTCAAAATTGTATGCTTAAATATATGTCCTATTTATTTTGACTTCTTATCATGCACTTTAATTTTCAAAATTATATGCAAATATATTGTCCACTTTTTTTTTT